TCCCACATGTGTGGCAGATACCCAGTAAGAACCATCACCTGCTGCCTCCCAGGATGCACGTTAGCGGAAAGCTGGAATTGGGAGCAGGATTGGAATTCAAATCCAGGCTCTCTGGTATCGGGACAGATTTCCCAATTGATGACTTCATTACTCAACCAAACACTGTTCTCAGATAAAGTTCAACATTTTACATTCTTTTTAAGTTTTTTTTTAAATTTTAATATTGTTTACATAGTTGAAAGGGATACAAACCCATGTGGGCCTCTGATTAGGATGGAGTGGGTCAGCTATGGGGAAAGATGGGTGGGACAAATATTGCAGATTTTTTTCCTCCTGTGCCCACAAATGGGCACTCATTGCTGTGGAACTACATAGGCACCTGTAGATAAGGGACAGTCATTTGATGATGCGTTGGGGACCCTGCTGTGGACAAGAGTTTTCTTAGGGTATTGCTTGAGTGGTTTTAGTAGTTCTGAGAAGTTGCTGATTTCATTGCTCCAAGATTAAGAAAGTCTTTCTAAGGTATGTTGGTTGACAGAGTTGACCTTAGTGCATCCCACAGACCTAGGAACATGCTACAAAGCTTCACCAGGAGAATGTCCAACCTGTTCTGCTTTCCATCCTCTTATGAGGCAGTTGTCATCCCCAACTGGCCTAGATTAATTGGTTGTCATGTCCCGTGAGCATCTGAACATGCTGTCACCTCATAGCTACTAAGGAGGCCCAGTCCTGGTACATTCCCTGCAATGTCAAACCACCATTCTGTGATTCTTCCTGTAGCTTGGCTCCAAGTCCAGCAGTCTAGTCAGGGAGTCTCCCAAGTCTTCCAAGGGAGTCTCACCTGGGGAGACTCAGACTTAGGAGTGCCAGCCAGTACAAGCTCAGGTTCCACTTGTGATCTGTACCACCCAGCACACATACTGGTAGATGCTGCTGCCTGCTCAGTTTTACTCCAGCCCAATTTCTCATGCAAGCTCATGGGTACTGTGGCCCACCCCAGCCAACCTGCCACAGACCTGATCCACACACACACATATCAGTAGGCTCAGCAGCCTAGTTGGGGTGACCTGCTATACCTCCCTGCAAAGCCAACCCCCAACCCCTATTTATGCATGTGCTCTCCTCTGCTGCAGCTTAGCCTTTCCTAGCTTGTAGCTCATCCAGCACTCATGCACACCCACAGGTGCTGTAGATTAGCTCAGCTGCACCTACCTCTAGACCTGGCCTTCACATATGCTGATGGGTGCTGCCACCTTCTCCAGCCTTGCATACCTGCAACCCTGGCTCTTGTGCTTGCCAGTAATAGGTACAGCCTAGCAGGAGAGTGCCCATACTTCCCCTAACAGGGATGCTCATGCACCTGCCAGGATGTACTGCAGTGCAGTCTGTCATAACTCACACCCAGTCCTGGCGTTACTGCCTAACCCCATTGGCCTGCACCCTTCTGGCTCAGCACCCTAGCCCAGCCTAGTCTAGGACCAGACTGGTCCACCCCAAGTCGCAGCTCTTGAGCTTACCAGTGGAAGTAGTAGTCCAGCAAGGGATTCCCTGAAATTCCCCTTCCTGGGAACATCCCAGCCCTGGGTCTTATGTGTACCAGCAGGTGCTGCAGCCCAGTCTGAGATGGCCCTCAGTCTTGGCATTTGCCAGTAGATGAGACAGCATGGCACAGCCCAGAATGTTTTATGTCCTAAAAAAAAAAAAAAAAACAGATTTATACTGCTTATATAGTACTTTTCATTTAGTTCTCTTTAAACAGAGACCATTTCTTCTGGTTCTCAGAAGAATGCAGAAAAGCTTGACTTCATCAGTATTAATTTTTAAATTCTTGGTTATTAAAATATAAATTAAGGCTTTCCAGAAACAGATTAATAGTTAATATACATAAAGAAGATGCTAATGATCCCATAGAAAGGACCCTCTCTTCCTCCTTCCCTACAGACAGAAAAAAAATGAAAACATTTGACCCACCTTTCTCCATACTTGATCCCCCACCCTAATTAGAAGCTCACATAGGCATGCATCCCTCTCAACTACATACATAGTATTAATAATAATTTTAAAAAATAATACAACTGCAAGTCATCACAGAACTATATACTGTTTCTATAGATCTTCACATAGATAATTTCTCACCATTCAGTTCCAGCCTGTTCCTTTCCTGCTCGGAGATGCTGTCTAACCGCTCCCATCTCAGTCTTCTAAATCCCTTCCCCATTGAAGCTTTCCCTGTTTTGCTCTCTTTTCCAAAAAAAAATAAATTCTTTTTGGTACTTAAACTCACTATATCATTTAAGAAATAGAACCTCTCCACAGCCTTATGTCTGTTGTCTGTCCTTCCTCTTATAATGTTAGCTGCCTAAGAGCAAGGATCTTACCTATTTGGCTGGCTGCAGAAACCCATGTGCTTACAGCAGTGCCTGCAATCTACTTAGATTCTTTTTTAAAAGGGTTATTTATATTTACAGAAAAGTCAGATTTACAGAGAGAAGGAGAGAGACAGAGGAAAATCTTCAGAGCTAAGCCAGGAGCCTGAAGCTTCTTCCAGGTCTCCCATGCGGATGCAGGGTCCCAAGACTGGGCCATCCTTGACTGCTTTCCCAGGCCATAAGCAAGGAGCTGGATAGGAAGCGGGGCTGCCGGGGTTAGAACCGGTGCCCATATGGGATCCTTGTGTCTGCAAGGCAAGGACTTAAGCCTGTAGGCTACCACACCATGCCCTAGATTCTTAGTAAATATTTGTTAAAGGAATGAATGGAGTGAACAGATGGTTATATTTGTAAAAGGGAAACTTTTTGTATTTTTAAAGATATTTTTATTTATTTATTTGGAGGAGTAATGGAGAGATGCAGCAGCTCTTCCGTCCTAGATGACTACAGCCAGGGCTGGGCCAGGTTGAATCCAGGAACTTGGAACTTCATTCTGGTCTTCCAATGAGTGGCAGAGGGCCAAATACACGGGCCATCTTCTGCTGCTTTCCCAAGCACATTATCAAGCACATTATCTGGAACCTGAACTAGTGCCCATATGATGTGCTGTTGTCACAGGCAGCAACTTTTCCTGCTGCACCACAATGCCAGCCCCTATGTTTCTAATTTCAAAGGTACAGGGAGAAAAAAATGTCTTAAATCATCGTTTAGAATTGGCATTACCCTAATTATAGTCAAGTTTTACATCTGACCATTAGTGGTAGACTCTGAATATGTAAAAGTTGTGATCTGTATCTCTCCAAGTTTGTTGCTTAGAATCTTCAGGGATTGGTAAACAATACCAAGTTCTCTTTTAACAGTGAGATTGCAGAGTTTCCCAGCTGAGCATAGGTTTGCTTTTGTCCTGTGTGGAGGAGTCCTCAGCTAACCATGTACTGCACTTACAGGCTTAGACAATAGGTGGCCACTCTAATTCTCAGTTCACTCATGTGTTGGCGCTTAGGTGTGGACCAATCTCAAAATGATGTGTGGCTTTGTAACAGCCAATTAAGGCTGTTCTCAGCCCCTTGACAGGATCTTCAGTAAAAATTTTAACCAAAAGTGTTAAGAATAAAATTCTAGAGAATTCTTTGTCTGAATATGCTTATGACCAACTGAAACTTTCAGATTGAGAAGAATGCTAAAGTAAAACTCAGGAAAGAGAATAGCGAAAAGATTTTTAAAGAATGAGAGAAGAGAAAAGACAAGATGAACAGAGTTGCGTTAACTGAAAATGAGTCATGACAGCATAGAATTATTGCATATGATGTACTTTTGGATGGAGAAACCCATATATCCTAGAGAAAAATTATAGTGCTCTACAGCCTGAGTCATGGTCTTCTGTGTTTAATTAAAAGTATCCAGAACACTTCATCACGCCAGAAATATTTTCAACTCCTTATTATTGCATCGGCAAAGCTATCCCTCAAATGTCAGCACTGGCAGTGTAGGAAAGACTAGTAGATTTAGAATGCTCAGCAGTATCTCTTGATCTTTTTGGTCAATAGCATGTGTTCCAAAGATCTAGAAAAGAAATCACTGAAGCATATCCTGAAGAAGCAACTGAAATGATAGTTCCCAGAACATCCCATAAAAATCTTACTAAGAGTGACTAAAGGGCCCGGCACGGTGGCGCAGTGGTTAAGGTCCTCGCCTTGCACGCCCGGGATCCCATATGGGCGCCGGTTCTATCCCGGCAGCCCCGCTTCCCATCCAGCCCCCTGCCTGTAGCCTGGGAAAGCAGTCGAGGACGGCCCAAAGCTTTGGGACCCTGCACTCGCGTGGGAGACCCGGAAGAGGCTCCTGGCTTTGGATTGGCTCAGCTCCAGCCGTTGCGCTCACTTGGGGAGTGAATCATCGGACGGAAGATCTTCCTCTCTGTCTCTCCTCTCTGTATATCTGCCTTTCCAATAAAAAAATAATAAAAATAAATCTTTAAAAAAAAAGAGTGACTAAAATGCCAATAACAATATGTAGATTACAATAAACACAAGCAGCCCCTTTTAATAATTAGCAGACACTGAACAAAATGACTAAGATATCTACTTTAAAACACTGTAAAATACATTTATCCTTAATAATAATACTGAAGAAAGAACATTCTAAAGCTTACTCCAGTCACTGCAGTTGGAGTGCACAGTAGTTGGCACGGTTGTCTGGACTCACATCCAACTGACAAAACTCTTACTCGTCAGCATTATTCTTGCTAGATTTATAAATAAGAAACATTTATAAACCGAACACTTTGATACGTTTTCTCCAGAATTAACTCACACATTATATATCTTAGCACAACTGAGAGGACGGGATAGTTGTATTACCTTTAAGATTGTCATAAATGCCACAAAAGTTAAGAACAAAAACAACTATGGGCGGTGGGCAAGGACATATGCATAGGCACTAACAAATAAGCCAGAGGCACAATTATTTGTGTATTTGGGATTATTTTGATTTGAGTTTGCGTTTGCTTTTTGCCTGTTGAAATGATTTCTTCAAATTTATTTGAGGTCTATTTTAACTTGTTGTTAACAGTTCACAGAAGAAAAGCTGGGCCAGGCAGAGAAGACAGAATTGGATGCTCACTTAGAGAACCTCCTCAGCAAAGCTGAGTGTACCAAAATATGGACAGAAAAAATAATGAAACAAACAGAAGTATTATTGCAGCCAAATCCAAGTAAGAAACTTTTTCCAAGTATTGTTAGTGCTTGTTTTATTGTGTAAAAAAATGTTTTAATGACTGAAAACAGAATTTTCATATTCCAGGATATATGGCTATTATTTGATGTGCTTTTGTGAAAAGGTAATAAATACTTTTCTGTATCATGTAGCAAATTTATAGGTAAAATTCTTCAGCTGTCTGTGGAGTCTTCTTGAAACTTCAGTTTCTGGCAGTAGCTTCGGCTTGGAGGATTCTGTCAGGAGTAGGTCAGGTATTTGGTGCAGTGGTAAGTCACTGCAGTTATACCTGCATCCTGTATCAGAATGACTGGCTTGAATCCCAAGCCCTCTGCTTCTACTCAGCTTGCATCCTGATATTAGCAGGTGCTTAAGTACTTGAGTTGTTGCCACACACGTGGGAGAACTGAACTGAGTGCCAGGTTCCTCAGTCTGTGCTGGCCCAGGCCTAAGCTATTGTGGTTACCTGAGATGTAAACCAGTACCTGGGAGATTCTGTCCATCTTTCTCTCTATCTCACTATGTGTGTATGTTGGTTTTTTTTTCTTTCAAAATTTGTTAATTCATTTGAAAGACAGAGTTGTAGGAGAGACAGATCTTGATCCACTGGTTGTCTACCCAACGGCCCAGGGTAGGCCAGGCCAAAACCAGGAACCCGGAGCTTTTTATGGGTTACCCACATAGGTGACAGGAGCTCAGAGACTTGGACCATCTTCCAGTCTTCCCCAGTGCATTAGCAGGGAACTGGACCAGAAGTGGGACAGCCAGGTGAGATACCAGCACTGCAGGTGGCAGCTTAACTTGCTGTACCACAATGCTGGCCTCATGACTTTCAAATAAATAAATACAAAAATTTTTTAAAGAGGCAAAAGGGGCAGTGAGAGGGGGCCTGTTGCAGTAGCCTAGTGGCAAAAGTCCTTGCCTTGCATCCATAGGGATCCCATATGGTTGCTGGTTCCAATCCTGGCTGCTCCACTTCCCATCCAGCTCCCTGCTTGTGGCCTGGAAAAGCAGACAAGGACAGCCCAAATGCTTGAGACCCATAGGAGGTTCCTGGCTCCTGGTTTTGGATCAGCTCAGCTCTGGCTGTTGTAGCCCCTTGGGGAGTGAACCAGCAGATAGAAGATCTTTCTCTGTACCTCCTTCTCTCTGTAAATCTAACTTTTCAGTGTAAATATATAAATAAAAGGGTGTGGACAATGAGAATAAATTCATTTTGCTGTCTCTTTCAGAGAAGAGTTGTTCTTACATAATTAAGGGAGCATTATATGGAAACCTAAACAGTTACCTTCTTTTAAATTATTATTTATGCAGTTACCTTTTCTTTGCTTTTTTAATGGAAGTTTTATATTTTTCACTTAAGTTAATCCATTCAATTTTTAAACAACTATGAGTTTTTTCAGGTACCTCGAGTAACCTTGCAAATAAGTGCATAATAATTATTTATTGAATGAAATGTACCAGTTGGCCTCTTGTCCAGTGTAGCTTAGCTAATGAGGGAAACTTGGAATAAAACCTGGTATGTTAGCATCCAGTCTTCACTCTGTGCTGTTTATATCAGAACTGAAGGACAAAGGCAGTACTGCATACTTTGCTTTTTCCCAGTGCTATTGTGAGAGAGTACTGATTTACTCCCCAGCTACCCACAATAGCTAAAAGCTGGACCAGGCTGAAGGCAGGAGCCCAAGCAGTTGAACCGTCATGTGGTACCTTCCGGGGTACATGTTAGCAGGAGGTTGGGATTAGAAGCAGTGTGGGCACTTAAACCTGGGTACTTCAGTTTGAGATTCGGGCCTCCTGGGTGGCATCCTAACCAGTGTGCCAAGTGCCCACCCAAACTAAACACCTTTAACCACATAGATACCAAGCAGTCAAAGCTAGGAATCAACTCCAGTCAGAAAATCAAAACCAAAATTTATTTAGCATCCTCTAATTGTTGTATTTTGAAATGGCTCATTTCAAAATTGAAATGGCTCATTTCAAAATTTCTAATTGTTATATTTTGAAATGGCTTTAAATTCCTGCCTAAGAACTCTTTTTATACTGAAATCTACCATACAAATTAGTATTAATCTGTTATGTATTATAATTATCCCTTTACCAGTTCCTTTATGAACTGCTTCCCTTTTTTGTTTTTTTTGTTTGTTTGTTTGTTTCAGTGTACTCTGAGAAACTTACACAGGAAACTATGTAAAACGTGCCTCTAAGGAACCTGTTTGACTTAGGCTAACATTTATCATTGTCATTGTAATTATATTTAATTATTGTTTCTGGAAATTTCAGCCATTTTCTCATTTTTCTCTTATATACTTCCTTTCTTGTCAGCATTGTAAATGTGAATATCTTTGCTGTTAAACACACAAACTTAAGTGTTTGCTCAGCTTTAACTGGTTTTTCTCCTTCCCATTTATACTGAAGGTCTGTTTTTACTTAAAACCTTTTATCTTGTATTTTACTTTTGTTTTCAAAGATATATCTTTACTTCTTTTTTTTTATTAGAAAAGCATATACAGAGATAAGGAGGTATAGAGAAGAAGCTCTTCTATCCGCTGGTTCACTCCCCAAGGGGCCACAATAGCCAGAGCTGAGCCCATATGAAGTCAGGAGCCAAGAGCTTCTTGCTGGCCTCCCATGCAGGTGCAGGATCCTCTACTGCATTTCCAGGCTACAAGCAGGGAGCTGGATGGGAAGTGGAGCATCCAGGACACAAACCATTGGCCATATGGGATCCCTGCGGATGCAAGGCGAGAATTTAACGCCTATGTGATCACGCCAGGCCCTCAAATTTGTTGCTTGTTGGTTTATTTTTTGTTTTTTTAAGATTTATTTTATTTTTATTGAAAAGTCATATATACAGAGAGGAGGAGAGACAGAGAGGAAGATCCTCTATCAGTTGAAACTCCCCAAGCGGCTGCAACAGCCAGAGCTGAGCCGATCCAAAGCAAGGAGCCAGGAGCTTCTTCCAGGTCTCCCATGCGAGTGTGGGGTCCAAGCAGGAAACTGTATGGGAAGTGGGACTGCCAGGATTAGAACCGGCACCCATATGGGATCCCAGCGCATTGGACCCCCTTTACATTTATTTTTACCAGTGATACCTTTGAAGTGAATCCATGTTGGAGAGATCATAATTGACATGAACAGCTAGAGCCGTGGCGTATTGCTGATCTGTCTGTAGCCTAGTTCAAGTGGATAGTTCTGTTCCGTAGCTCTCGTGTCTATATTTAGACTTCGGGCAAGAGAAAAAGGAAACACTCATGCTAGAGGTGTCAGATGTGACTCTGGTTTTGTATGTAATTTATTTCTCTATTTCCTAGTTGGAGATCTTTGATTTTGAAATGAAGAACTATATTCAGAGTTAAATATTAGAATTCAAAATGCTAAAAATAGAGGAAAAGATTACTACATAGTAACTAAGTTACTATCTTCTCTGGAATATTAAAATCCCAGAGAATACTCATAGTAGTTAAAGATTTTATACCAGTGTATTTTGTTATATTTTTAAAATATAGATTCTGACATATAAAAATTATATGATATGTACTTGAATGAGTGTTAATTTCTTATTCAGATATTAAATGGCTGGTAGTTTTGTATTATTGGAGTTGTTGATAATTTTAATCTTTCTCTTAGATGCCAGAATAGAGGAATTTGTTTATGAAAAATTGGATAGAAAAGCTCCAAGTCGTATTAACAACCCAGAACTTCTGGGACAATATATGATTGATGCAGGAACTGAGTTTGGCCCAGGAACAGCGTATGGTAAGTGAAAAAAGCAAAAAGTTATGATAAATATCTTCTGTGTTTAGATTTTTACTACAGATATTATTAACATATGACTCTATTTTAGCCTCAAGCTTATTATGTTAAAGATTTGATTAGATTGAGAAATATGAATGACCAATAAATAGTACAGGTTAATGTAATATGTTCAAGCAAATATTTACTTGTTCAGAGAACTCATATCTTTTTTAGTTGTGAAAAATCAAGTGAATTTTTTACTTGCACTCTCATTGATCAATCAAGACCCCTATTGTAAGGTATTTTTTGTTTTATAGAAGGTTTTTCTTTAAATATCTCTTATAGCTGCTTTAAAAAGAGAGAGAAAGGAGGGCAGGAGGGAGGAAGAAAACCCTTTTTGGAAGGCATATTTATTTATTCTTTATTGATGGTACTAGAGCACAGTCAGTGAATAAATAACTAAGTCACTACAATGTTTCTGTTAACTTTTGGAATAATGTCTGTACCCAAAAAATTATCTTCTGGCTGTTTGGATTTTATTTCTGGTTTTCTTTTTTGTGTGCCTCAGGTGTTCTGTAATTGTGCTTACAGTTAGGCTGCTTTCTTAGTTCCCGTGTTCTGACTTAAGTATACCGCTGTGAAGTTCATTGTCAGACATCATCTCTCAGATCTACAGTTCTCATAAGATACCCTGTAGCTTCTTTTTTTGTTTATGTCTAATTACTTTCTTTAGTAAGACTCCTAAAAGAAGTTGGTTCTTATTTGGATATGAAATGGTAAATAGATAAAATGAGTTTCCATAGATTATTTCTGATTTATAAAATGCTACATCAGTATTGTGATTAGATGAATTTAAAATTGTAGCAGCCATCCCTATGTCAAGGAAATAGTGTAAGGACTATGTAATACCATTAATCATGCATTACTGGCTTTTTAGATGTACAACTTACAAACTTAAAATTTTTACCTAATTTTTAGAAAAGCTTGTATGTAACTCTGGTAAGGTACCTGAAAGGGACCCCGTGTTTTGTCTCACCAAGCTGAAGGCCTCCTGGAAAATGAACGTTAAAAACTTGCGAATTTTCTGTTTTACACCTCTGATAGTTTTCGCAAATGTATCCTGATTATTGGAATGGGCTTTGTGAACCCATTATTAGTAACTGGAAGCAAAAAATGTAGTATTTCATTGTATTCCATTGCCTTATGACATACATGTATTATGCATAATTTCAGTAAATCCCCTCATATTCTGTAAGTAACATAGTTTCTTATATCCAATTAAAGATAGAGAAACTAAGGCTTGGAGAGATTAAATGATGCATGCATTATCATATATGTAGTAATTCATATGTGGATTTGTCTATATCTATAGACAATGCTATCTTCCTTTCTTTAGTTCCAATTTTATTCTAACATGAAAGATTTAATACACAGAGGTAGAGATAGGGAAGCTAGGGGTAGAAGGCTAATCCTTGGAACCAGCATGATGGCTCAAGGATAAATCCTCACCGTGCATGTTCCAGAGATCCCATAGGGGCCCTGGTCGTACTGGACCTGTTTGTGGCCTGGAAAAGCAGTAGCACATGGCCAAGTGCTTGGGACCCTACACCCTCATGGGAGACCCCGAGGCATTCCTGACGCCTGGCTGCAGATCAGTTCAGCTCTGGCAGTTGCAACCATTTGGGAGTGAAATAGTAGACAGATCTTTTCTAACTGTCTCTCCTCCTTTCTGTAAATCATCTGCCTTTCCAATAAAAATAAATAAGTCTTTTTTTAAAAAAAAGGTTAATCTTTACTTGGGGTTCCTTTTCTTCTCTGCTTTCTACTTTCCTACTGTACCCAATCCTATTTCCAGAGTTTATGTGCTATAAAAATATGATTTTTTCTAAACTTAGGATATAAACTATTTGTTATGCATTCTTAAGAGAAATGTATAGTTACAGAATAGAGGACAAATTGTAATTTGATTGACTTAATAAAATATTATGGACATTATACTTTTATAAACAAACCTGTTCTGTTTGAGGTTCAGCCATAAATATTTTTGGTAATATGTAATGTATTCATTGGTAAATTTAACACAATTACCTATGATAGGACAACAAGTTCATCTTGGTCTTTTTTCATTTAAATGTTTAGTCTTAATTTACTCTTAAAATCTCCTTAATTATAGTTCATTCTATTTGATTTTATTTAAGTACGCAAGTGATATTAACTTTAAGGCAGTCACATTATTGATTTATCGTCATATGATTTTATATTTTATATTCCTGAACCATGATCGATTTTTCTTCTTCTTTGTAGGCAATGCTCTTATTAAATGTGGAGAAACACAGAAACGAATTGGAACAGCTGACAGAGAGCTGATTCAAACTTCAGCATTAAATTTTCTTACTCCTTTAAGAAATTTTATAGAAGGAGATTATAAAACAATTGCTGTGAGTTGGAAAATATTCTTTTTGTTAAAGTAATTTGCATCTTTATCTAGTTTTTAATAAATAATTTGCCCATTAATGAGTATAGATGCAGCACGCTAGAAACTTAAATGAACCGGGGTTGGCACAGTGATACAGTGGGTAAAGCTGCTGCCATATCCCATACTGGCCCAGGTTCAAGTCCCAGGTGCTCCAGTTCTGATCCCTACTGCTGCACTTGGGAAAACTGTAGAGGTTGGCCCAATTGCTTGGGCCCCTGTACTTACACTAACATGTGAGATACAGTAGAAGGTCCTGGCACTTGACTTCCATTCATTTTCATTCATTAGCACTGCTAAAATATATCAAGATAGCTCTGGAATAATTATGAAAATATAGTACAAAATATCATCAAAGCAAACTGTGTAACTGTTCATCTCACTGGAAGCTACAAATTTAGTTATTTGAAGTCATACGTGTGGCTATCCTATTTCATCCAGCTGTGTGGTCCTAGAAACTATTTTCTTTTTATAATGCTTTGTTTCACTATAAAGTGTAAGAAACATACAACTTTTACCATTCCTAACCTATATCAATAATTTTTAGTTAACTTGCTTGTGATGGAGAATTAAGAGCTGGGTGGATTTTTTTTTTCCTATGGTTTTTGCAAAGCACAAACCTTAAATGCACCTTCAAACTTTAATTTGCACATTTAAAAATATATATAGAGAAATATTTAAATATTTTTAAATGTCAGCATATATTGACATAAGTATATAAGAAAATATCAGAATTTAAATGTGATTCAAATATTAGCTTATTAGTGGTATTCAATTTGATGTATAGACTAAGAATTAAAGCAAACTCAATTTCTATAAACTTATTCAAAAGAGTGAAATTTGGGGGGAAATTTTCATACACACAAACACACAATGATAGCATTTATTTATTATAAGTTTGAAACTCCATTTTGGAGTGGCTGGGTTGCGTTGGGTTCTGTGACATGTTAAAAGCAGCCATACTCTTGGCACATACTTTTTCACTGTAAGCACTTTCTGCATAATCTGTGTAAGTTTGAAACAAGATTTCTCAGGCTTTTGGCTTCATAATGAACTGAGTATGTGAGATCTGACTGTCTTAGGAAGCTTAGCTATAGCATCCCTGGCTCCTGGTAGCTCCTGGTAACATCGCTCCCCGGATTATGATTGTCAGAGATTTTTCCCAAGGCTTTATGAAGAACAAAATCAGAAAATATTCAAACTGCTATTCCTTTGTTTCTGTCACGACCTGCAATCTGTGCCAAGCTCCCACATACCTGGAATGTCTTGATCATTTTAAAATTTAAATGAAAAAGGAGAGTTAAATACCTGAATGATAATTTTAAACTGATTTTGTAACCATAAGTCTTTTTCAGATAATACATATATTTAATGTAACATAATATTTTCAGGATGCTGCCTCATAATCTAATCATATTAGTGCATGATTGCTTTTTACATTTTTAGAAAGAAAGAAAGCTGTTACAAAATAAGAGACTGGATTTGGATGCTGCAAAAACCAGACTGAAAAAGGCAAAAGCTGCGGAAACTAGAAGTTCAGTAAGTGATTTTTTTTTTCTATTGTTAAGACTAGAATATTGCTTTAGAGTTATTTGTTTATTAAAATATAAAACATAAGACGAGCACAAAATAGATGAGCTAAGAAGTAATACTCAGCAGTATAGCTACTGCTAAAAAGCAGTGATAGTTCTTAAAGCTCTGTCATGTTCTTTAAAAATCCTCAGTGGAAATGGCAGTGTATCTTTTGAAAAGATAATGAGTTGGTAAAATGTGAATTTATTTTTAAGATAATTTTATAATTAGGAAAATATATCTTAGAAAAATAAGGATCATTTGAAAATAAATGTTTGAGCTGAAACAGAATCTCTTTATTCAGAATGCCTATGTGTGTTCACAGATCATTGTGGAATGAGAACAGGGTTGTCAAAGTTTCAATGTAGAACTCTTAGCAAGCAGGCACTCTTAGGAGTTAATGATACTTTGCCTTTTCCCTGAAAAAGTACCGGAAACAAAATAAGGTTTACAAGTAAACAAGCTCTTTGAATATTGAATTATATTTCCACTGTTATTAAAAAGTGTGAGAACTACACAGAAAAAAAATTGAGAGATGCTTCCTTATGTTCTATCTGGAAAGGGTCTTTAATGATTATCCTCTGTGTATTTTTTAAGGCAAAACTTTGCCTAGGATTTTTATGTGTGAAATTAAAATGAAAGAGGATATAAATGACTCTATACAGCAAATTCATTTTACACAGCTTTTCTGTAACTTGTATATTACATGACACAAAATTTTTCAGCCAGTATTAAAGACACTAGTTGACACCAAAATTCACATTTGCTGAAGTAATAGTCTTTCAAATAACAAAAACATTTTTTAAACTTAGTCTGAAATAGTTTGAAAATGACAAGTCCTTTTAATTTATTGTTATGTAAAGTCTTGAGGAATACCTATATTTGGTAATATTTTTTAATGGTATTTGATGTTTCCATTTATGTGAGAAATCCATTTAAAAAATACACATAAACCACAAGAAGTTCACTTTTTTTTTTACATCCTTGACAAATTTTCTAGTTCTACTTGGCAACTGAAAAAATTAATTTAGGGCCAGTGTTGTGATACAGCAAGATCTTTCATAGTGTATCAGTTTGAGTCCAGACTACTCTGCTTTCAGTCCAGAAACCTGCTAATTCTCCTAAGGAAGACAGCAGAGGATCGCCCAAATATTTGGACCCCTGCCAGCCTCATAGGCCATCCAGAAGGAGTTCCCAGCTCCTGGCTTCACCTGACCCCAGGCATAGCTGTGGGAGCCATTAGTGGCAAGAACCAGCTGATGGAAGAGCTCTGTCACTTGTCTCCTCTCTGTTACTCTGTATTTCAAATGAATAAATCTTTATGAGAAAGATGATAAATTTGACCCCAGGCTTTTTTTATTCTCTTGTTTATAAATTTTTATGAATTAACTGCTCCAACTTCTGCTAGTAAGGTTTAGAATCTATGCATATTAGCACTTTGGGAAAAAAAGCCATTTATTAGTATATTTTGGGGATCCCATGTCACATTCTGTGTTTATCAAATACTGATTTTAGATAAGGTACTATACCATAGTGAAAGTGTTGTGCCATTAGTTCACTGTTTATTACAGCAAAATAAGTTTTTTGATGACTTACCCATATCAATAAAAGATTGCTGCCTGTATCCAGTATTGCTGCTTTACTAACTTCTGTTACGAGTTAACATGTTAAAGAATAATAAAGCACAAAAGGCTTTTTTTTTTCAAAAATTAAAAGCTGAACAAGAAGGAAAAAGACCTTTAATGCTGCAAGTAAACAAAAATAATTGTTAAAATAGTGTATATAAATAAATAAATGAAATAAAACTTAGGTCTGAGAAGTAAGGACAAAATATCCAGTGCATTTAAATTATAAGGCATCTGTTTTAATAACCAAATTTTAATCTGCTGGGAACATTACAACAGTAACGTTTGAATTTTTTTCACAGCTCTCTAGTAGGCACACCCTAATTTGATATGAAGTATTTCTTCAAATAACATGTGACTAATAGTTCCCTCTGTACACTTAAGCACTTCCCTACCAGACTGCACATTTATGACACCATTGTGTAGCCTTAACTTTGTGTGTATACATGTTTAAAGTTTTATAAAAGTACAGAATTGGCATGTCCCTCGAATTTCTTCAGGCTATGCCAATGCAAAGACCTGAATGGGACTGATTTATAGAGAGCCAGTGTGTTTTAAGGCTTCGTAAGTTCATAAAATAAAATGGTCTTTGAGTAACAAAACTGTGTAGCCAGAAAATCTTTCATAGGGAAAAATCTATAAAAATCTTATGCCTCTAAATTATTGCAATTTAAAAATCATGTATCAGCCATATTTTTGGTTTAAAAGTTTGAGTCTTTTGGAAAAATTGGATAGTAATCAAGTATCAAATTTCATTAAAAACTAAGTATAGTTGAGTTTTTTTTAAAGTAAGAAATACATTTTTATAAGCTCTTCTAATACTTATTTAGTGTGTTCTTTATTGTGCAGAAGTAATTTGTTTCACTGTGCTCATTGGTGTAATGTGTTCTTTGTCTCTCACCTATGCACTTAAGCAACTAAACTCAGCTCGCCTTGAAGGAGATAACATTATGGTAAATTTCTCTTACATGCTCAACTACCTGCATGTAAAATGGCTGAAGGTTTGTTGGCCTACTGTGTTTTCTACATCTTGAATAAAGTGCCTTCTCTTGCTATAAGCTGCATGTACAAATGTAGAATAGCAAGCATTCATTAAATAATACAGGAAATTCTAGCTGAAATGATAGTAAACCTTGAAGGAGAGAAATTATATGCCTTTGTTACCAAATATGTTGGTTATGCCAGATACAGTTGTTTAGAATCTGAATTTACATATAAGTTGATTGCTTTTATTTCCACCCTTTTGCTAATTTAAATTGGCACTTCATATGCTTATCTTTGGCAAAGGAAATAAGCAAAATGTAGTTTGGGGAAGGTATAAGCTATATAAATTGACTTCTCAGTTGCTTCATTGTTTGCATTGTTTCCACCCAAACTGAACATTCTGCCATTTGAGGCAAACACTAACTTTAGTAGGTGAAGTATTCTAGTGGCCAGGCCCCACGCTCTGTGCAGTACTCAGTTCAGAGCATAGCACAATAGTGATAGTCTCCAGTTAGTTACCAGTGAAAATTGTTTTCTGTTAATAGCCAGTGTTTGTAGGAACTCAGTATGAGGAAATTTTTTAGTTAATAGGAATTTTTAACAAAAAATTGCAGAATCTGAATGTAACTACATTTAAACTCTTCAGCCAATAATAATTTACGGATACAGTATTTGGTTTCATATTCCTAGATAGATTACTTGCAATAAAAGTCACAAGTCTTCTGTACAAATGCAAATTGACAGTTAAGTGACTTGCAGTAGCATTGAACAAAAGTCAGGGGAAAATACTTCTGTAATATGGTAGATTCTTGTATTGCGTATTATAAAGTACAGTTTTGATATTTTTTTAACTAAAATTATTGTAGCCCTGCCTGAAATTAGGGCTTTCTTTAGATAGCAAGAGAATGCATTCATTTACTTCCATTGTTCTATCTGTAGATATGTGAAAAGTGTGCGAGCTTTTCAATCATTTCTAATTTAGTGTGTTAATCATTTCAGTCATTGCTAATTTAGTATATTAATCATAGATTTCCTATTGTCTTGGCTAAAATATCCTCATAAACAGTTAACACAGCTTTATTTAATTCATTAAGTGGTTTTTATTTCATACTACTAATGTCATCTACTTACAGCAAGTTATGGTTGCATCTAAAGTTTGTTGTTTATTCCCAAAAAGAGCTGTGTCAGCATCCCTTCCCCATTTATCTTTACTTTGTTTCCATATCCCAAAAGTCTAGAATCCATACCTAAGCGAGAAGTTAGAAATTGAAGCTTAGGCCAGATCTTATTTTGTGAATGAGAACACTAGAAATAAGAGATTATTAGATAATCTTAATTTGGGAAAATTACTACATTAGTTTGTAGAATTAGCATAAGATTTGGAAGTTGAGAATCCTGATATAAGGACATACTCTCACAGTATGTTATTACTGTAGTACTTAGTTACTACTGTATTTTGTCTGTTAGTGAGAATCTGAGAAAGGAGAGTATGCCATTTGAATTCAGATATTTACATTTTTCTGTACTTAGTTGTAGGAAATGTTAAATTCCAACTTTCTTTCATGCTCTATATTTTTCTCTAATTTTTAATGCTGGCTAGATTTGGGCAGAGGAAGTGACAAAAGTAAGTAAATTATTAAACTACAGAATTATGAAACAAAAGTTTAATTGTCATTCATTTGATAAGTACTTATTGGGTAACAACTATGGGTCTTACCACAATCTATTTTACAATGTCTTAATAATCTGAAGTTTATGAAAAGGCTCAAGTCTGTTTGGCTAATAGCAGTTCCACAGAACGACAGAGCAAAGCTGCAGACAAGTGGTTGGTACATTCTTTGGCACATCCTGCATCCCTGCTAAGCAATATTACTATAATGCTGTGCGACAACACAGTTGAAGTACTTGGTTTAGTCCTTAACAATTATATTTTAGTGGTAATTTTTAAGATATATAATGTAGTTAATACAGTATCCTGTACTTCAGAGAATTGGGACTGTCATTTCACACAAACGAATTTTTTAAAATACTTGAACCTTGTTCCCTCCTAATCCCTCACTTTTGTTGAAAACTGAAAAAATACTGCTGCATTCATTACTGGATAGCAATTGTTTAATACAGTCATTTACTCTGAAGAATGTCCTTAGTGATCTGTGTGTGACATTTGGATCTCTGTTTATTTTAAATGCGTCTCTCTTCTGTCAGTGTGAGGCTGTGACCCCTAGAAGCCATCCAAATGACCGTACTACCAGTTGTTCTGCCTGTGTTACCATTTCTAACATTCACCGAGTTGGAAATACAGTTATTAAGCAAGAATTTAAGGAGTAAAATTATGACTTTAGCACAATTTGTTAAAGTGAGTCTTTAAAAACATTTTTTGTTTACTACTCATGTTCAGGACTTTAAAATGTGACCACCACCACATGAGTATGCTCTTGATGTGGCCCATGACTGTAAATAGGCTAAAAAGCCTTGACATCCGATTGTCTGGCTTTGTAAAATTGCTGGCTAGACCATTGCAAAGATTTTGGAGCTGTAGATTCTGACTTGAAAATCTTACATGATACTTGTAACTTATGCTCCCATCCCCTTTTATGGGTTCTATTTAGTTTAGTTGTGGCTCCACTCTTAATTCTAACTTCTTACTAAGCCTCTGGCATGAAAAAGGGACAGACTAAGATAAAGGAAAGAATTTAAGTTTAAATAAGAAAAGTAGAATGCCTTACCCTTCTGGTTGGTGTACAGATATACAAATTTCTGACTTGATTTTGCAATCTCTACAAGTTTTAGATATAGTTGGTACAGTAAATGGGAAGAAGCTCATAAACCAAATATCTATATATATGAAAAAAACTTAGGGAAATATATCAAATTGAGTTTGTAGAGGTGCTTTTTATTCTCTGCTCTGTCATTTTTATTATTTTTTAAGTGTATAAATTTTAAAAGTTTATGCTCCTAGCTTATTTCAAGACTTAAGCCTGTAGAAAAAGCAAGCAGTAACCAAGGTTGTCAAAGCAGATGCCTCAGAAGCTGGACTCACTGATGATCTGTCCTGATGCACAATGAACTCTTGCCCAGGTCCTAAATTACACATTAAAAGGATTCTTCTTGCTCACCTAACGCATGTTATCCTGTCATGTAGTGTAGATCCAGTAGCCTGCTAACAGCAGTTCTTAGCAAGTCTTTTTCCTACCACTTAATTGAGAGTAAGTCAAGGAATGAGATCTTTAGAGAATATTATCAGCCCTCTAAGTTTGCTGTATTTCTTCAAACCTTTCTTATCTCTCTCTAACATTAGATCATTTTCTTCCAAGGCCAACAAGGTGAACCTAGTTTAAATTTCCTTGATCTTAGATTAGTTATTTTGGGATAATTATATTATTAAAAGCACAGATTATTTGGGACATCGGCCTGTTTGCAACGACATGAGGCATACGCTGAAACTCGTTGAAGAAAAGAGATTACTTACTTTCCTGTCATTTACCTGTTCTAAATGAAGATCTAAGTTATGCAGAAGAATGACTTTCTAAACTTTGTAGCATGGAGCCTTTCTTTACAATGAAATGTTAAATTTTGCACAAACCTGGAAATCCAATGCGTCATCCTCATCCTTAGTGAAATCATTAAATGTACATTTTACCCAGGTACTTAACATTTAAACATTATTTCCACTTCAGTCTCAGTCAGTCACTTTAATGTGCTACCCAGCTTGCTGCTTTTGCACAGAAGCACTGCTTTGTGCAGAAATAAGGTGTTTTGCTGTTTTTAACCAAAGGCCATTAAATTGTTTCTTCACAAAGACCCACATGGAACTGCACTACTTTACTTCTAAATGTACTTTTGATTTGTTGTAGTTACTTCTAATGAAGCCATTTTGTATTCGGCCAAGCAGAATGATAAATAGCCAAAATGTACCCCTGAAGTGGTTGGTTTTCCTGAAAGCTTTATTAGGAAGAATGTTGATACTTTTCTTGCCCTGGGACTTCCTTCCGCTTCATATTAGTTTCCAGATGAAATTATTTAAGCCCTGCTGTCTCCATGGATTCTGGGTTTAGTCACATGAGTTTAATCCTTGTTAATTTTTAATGTCTTTCTTTACTATTTCAAGTTTATATCCTGAAATGCCATCTAGAGGTCAATCCCTTCGGCCAGATCTTTTGGCCAGTGGAATATTATATAACACCTGGTTTTTGGCTTTGCTACTACCTCTGCATTGATTAGTTCACTTAACTGAAATGAAGGGTGAAAAAACTACTGAGAGGGTATAAAATGAAGACATTCAGACTAGTTCTTATATTCACTACAGAAAATAAACTGTTGGCATGGGGTAAAGTTATTCTGAAAAGGCAGTGAAAAGGAGCATTAAGATGACATCACCAGTAATGATTTGAGTTGTGAGGTTTAATTTTTTTCCTCTTTTTGTCACTAATTACTCAATTATCAGCCAGTTCTAGCTGAAGGTTTGAGATCTTTGCCATATTTACTACTTTTAGGTGTCAGTTTTTTAGTGAACTATTTTGTCCCAGCACGAAGCCTGTATCAGATGGTTGAAGCAACTAGTGGTATGTTATCATACACAGTTCCTAATCCAAAATTTAGAATGCCCCATAATCAAACTTTTAAAGTGTTGGTATGACAAGGAAACAGCAGCACCTAACCTCATGATAGGTCACAGTCAGAACATAGCACACTAAACTGTAATTGTATATAGTTAGCTTCAGTTTGAGTATATGACATGTGAAATATAAGTGAATTTCATATTTACACTTCTGGCCCATCTGCAAGGTATCTCTGGTGTTTGCAGATATTCTGAAATCTGAACTGCTGCTCTTCCCAGGTGTTTCAGGTGTAGTCTGTCCCCAGCTGCAACAACTTTGGTGACATTACCTTAGTAGCTTGAAATCTGCCAGGGTGAGAATATAATGCCATACCAACACACCCTGGTTGAAGGTCAACCATAACTGCATTTTTTAAAAAAAAATTCAAAGCCGTAATACATAGTAACAGGTATTTCTGCTTAGGGCATATTGTAATCAACAGGAAAGAAAATGTGTAGGAAATGCTTTAAAAATGCAGGGAGAAGAATCCTTTGAAGGAACCTAATAGCTATGTTCCTAAAACTAGTATTAAGTTTTTAAACACAAAAAGTTTAAAAAAAAATCTAAAGCTGTATGCTGAAGACAAAGAAGCTTCACAGTGTAAATAATGTAATGATTGAGAAGATTTTTGCAGTAATGTTTATACTCATGAAACTGGTAATCTAAAAATATGTAAAATATTAAAATTCAGCAAAAATCATAGCTTAAAGTTATTAAAATATGTTTATTTTCCCATAGTTTCCTAGGTTCTCAGAAGTATGCAGTGATGCTTTAGCAGTAATAGATTTTCAGTCAAGAACTGGTAAGGAATCAGTTCTCTCAAGGTTAAGTAGTATTAGAAAAGTAAGACCTAGAAACTGGAAGCAGGTTTAGATATAAAGCAGAACCAAGGAATTACCAGATTATAACTTGGGTTTTGTTCCATTGATTTTTTTTTTTTTTACTGTCCAAGTGAATTTACATAAGATGAGTCTTCTAATGAGATTCTAAAACTATGTTCTAACTTAAGTCTGAACAGGAACTAAGAATAACTCAGAGTGAATTTGATCGTCAAGCAGAGATTACCAGACTTCTCCTGGAGGGAATCAGCAGTACACATGTAAGTGTTAATTCATTGCAGATTCATTTGAAGCAAAAGACTTCGATAATGCTAAAACAATTTGGGGTGTAAAGTCTGAACTTTGATTTATCAAGAAAGTTATGGCATTTTCTAAGATATGTAATAAAATATTTAGAATTTTCGCTTAGGCCTCATCACCTTCTCCCAGTCTCATCAAATCCACTTTTTGTGTGTTGGTATAATGTTCACTGAGGCACAGCCTGGTGATCCTCCAGTCCAGTACTGCCGGCTCTCCGTTAGGTCTGTCATAGCGCTAACTGGCTGTCCCTCTTCTCCACAGGCCCATCACCTCCGCTGCCTGAATGACTTTGTAGAAGCCCAGATGACTTACTATGCACAGTGTTACCAGTACATGTTAGACCTCCAGAAACAGCTGGGAAGGTGATCATTTCCTTTTCTTTTTTTTTTTTTAAGATTTTATTTTTATTATTTTTTTTATTGGAAAGGCAGATGTACAGAGAGGAGAGACAGAGAGGAAGATCTACCATCCGATGATTCACTCCCCAAGTGAGCGCAACGGCCGATGCTATGCCAATCCGAAGCCAGGAGCCTCTTCCAGGTCTCCCACTCGGGTACAGGGTCCCAAAGCTTTGGGCCGTCCTTGACTGCTTTCCCGGGCCACAGGCAGGGAGCTGGAAGGGAAGTGGGGCTGCCAGGATAGAACTGGCGCCCACATGGGATCCTGGGCGTGCAAGGCGAGGACCTTAACCACTGTGCCACCACGCCAGGCCGATCATTTCCTTTTCACATATAAAACTCTTGATGAGGGAAGAAACACAGAACTGAAGGCTTTTATTAGCATTTTTAGAATTGGGACTTTCTCTTAGGAAAGTAATTATCAGATTTCTCAAAGTAACTAAGTATTTTGAGCTCTTCTAATACAAAAGGATATTCACAGGAGTGAAAAGAGACTCTAAGTAAATACTTTCATTCCTATATGAAGGAAACTGAAAAGTAAAGTTTACTTTTCTCTTGCTGCTGAATAATTTTTTGTTGTTATTTGAGGAAGATACTTTTACTCTTGATTATGTTTAAGAAAAACTGATTTGTGGTTACTCATTACTCATTTATGATATTAAGAAGTGTTATAATATTCACAAAGACCTCACACTCCTCTCATAGGACTATTTTGAAGGTCAGGGTAATGGACTTTAAAGAAAAATGATAATGTAGAAAGCGTGTAACGCAGTCATCATCACATCCTTACTGAATGCTGCCATGTGCCACTCGTTGTTTTGTGTTCTGGAGGTTGTATCAGCAAACAAAACAAGCAAAAGTGCTTGCCTTTTTGAAGCTCACATTGTAAGGTGATGATTGAAATAAAATATTGAATAAGACAAATATGATCTCTGTACTCGTAAAAGTTAATATCCAAGTGGAAATACAGACCATTGCTTTAGAGGCATTGTCAGTAGTGGTAGCTGAAGAAAAGCTATGCCTTGCGCCAGGCTTCAGCTGTGTCCGGTCTTCCAGACACCTCACATACATCATTAACTAATCCTCACCACACCGTGTAGGTGGAGAGACAGCAGTACTTATCACAAGTGGTCAGTGTGTTTTTTTAGATACATATAATTAGAAGGCTTTAATAGATCAGGTTACTGTCTCAATGTCCAGCTTCTCACGTCTCTATATATTCTTAAGGAAATGGATAATTTCATCTTTTCTGTCTTCAGTTGTGTTAATACTGCTTAGTCATTGACCATACACAATCAATATTTGTCTGAATGGATAAAAAAGTATGATTTAGCTGGTGTTAATGCAAAAGGTCAGATATTCACATGTTTTTATCTCAAAGAATTAACCTTAAAAAGCCTTATTCTTGCAATGTTTAATACTTTTGTAGTTTTTCAGTTATACTTTTATATAATAATTTATAAAGCTGCTTAAGTTAATATATTATAAAGGCAGCTTTGAAACAAACTTTTAAAGACTTATTTTTAATCAGGCCTAAATTGCTTTTAGTAAACTGGAAAGAGGAAGTAGATTGTATGTAGTATATTGGGAAGAGAGAAGTTAGCACAGTCATGTATAAACAACCAAAGTGGAGGTAAAAAAGTAAACAGTGCCACCAAGTGGAAGTTTTTAGGAACGTTAATAATTTGGAAATAGTTAAATGAGCTGTTTTGTTTTCAACAGTTTCCCCTCGAATTATCTTTGTAACAACAATCAGACATCCGCGACACCTGGGACATCTGTGCCATCTGTTTTATCAAATGTTGGTTCTTCTGCCATCGCTTCAACAAGTGGCTTAGTAATCAGTTCTCCTTCCAACCTCAATGACCTGAAGGAGTCCAGCGGCAGCAGAAAGGCCAGAGTTCTCTATGATTATGATGCTGCAAACAGTACTGAGCTGTCGCTTCTGGCAGATGAGGTGAGCAGTGTGGGTATGGTGGGGAAAAAACAGCTACAAATGGGCATACCTTCTAATACCCTAACAAGATGTAAATGCCTTGTTACTTATTTGGAAATAGTTTATCATGAATACTTGCTAGATTTCAGATGGTTATGTTAACATTTTATAAAATTTTACTGCTATCTTTATGAAATAATAGAGCATCACAAATATTTAAAGTAAAAAAATTTCTTATTTTTTTAATTTGCAAAGCAGTCAGGGAGAGCTCCCATGCCTTGACTCATTCTCCATGTGCCAACAACAGGCAGGGTTGAACGAGGCCAAAACAGGAGACCTGATGAGTGTGAGCCATCGTCTGCCACCAGCTGGTGTATGTCAGTGGGAAGCCGGAATTGAGAGTGAAGTTGGGACTTGAACCTGGGGCTCCAGTGTAGAATGCAGACATCTTAACCACTAGACAGTCTCCCACCCTCGTGTTTAAATTGGTTAGCTACTAAATACTAGAGATAAATAACACTGCCTCCAGGAATTCTTTGTCTTCCAACAAAATTGATAATCTTACTTTAAGTCCCTTCATAGATAACAGTTGAACAAACTAGATACAACTCTGATTAGTTTTCCCTGCTTATTTTTTAATATAGCTAATAACCGGAAACATTTTCTTTTGTAGGTGATCACTGTGTTCAGTGTCGTTGGAATGGATTCCGACTGGCTAATGGGAGAAAGGGGAAATCAGAAAGGCAAGGTGCCAATTACCTACTTAGAACTGCTCAATTAAATAGGTGGACTGTGCAAAGGTTACTCATCGTGACACCGTATTTATAGGCAGTTCACTCTAAGTAAAGCAGGTTTAAGTACCTTCCATTTTAATGTCTTAAGAGACTGAAATGAAAATACCAGCTATCAAAAACTGGCATTTCTTCCAATAAAGTTGCATGGTAAATATTTCATTATAGAATTTATGTTAGAGCTTTCATGCCAACAATGTTTTCTTACAAAATTCTTTCTACTGAACTTTCACTAACTAAGCAACGTCTACTTTGGAGACCCAACTTAGAGCAGAACTGTTTTATACTGAATTTCTAATTAACAGTAAGCTTTTTCTTTTATGTAAAATAAATTTATTGTGAATTGATAATATCAGCGACTCATTTGTTAGGTATAATTAATAGCCAAAGAATAAAATTAAAATTTCTTTTAAACTGTTGATTTAGAACTCTAGGATATAAACTTATTTTGTGAAAAATACAGTGTTTCTGAATGTTTCTTCCATAAAGTGAAATGAAGTTATACCATGTTTACCTTGTTGTCCAATAGAAATCAAATGATTGCAATGCTGTGTTTTGATGGGTTTGGTTTTTTATTTTGGGGAGGTTATTTTGTTTGGTTCTTTTGTTTTTTCAGTTTTTGTTTCTTTTGGTGGGTTTTTGTGGTTTGGTTGGTTGGTTGGCTGGTTGGTTGGGTTTTTTTGTTTTTGGAACACTACTGAATTTTTTTTTTTAATTTAATTTAAGAACAACTAATAGTCCTTGAAAAGCATGGCCATAATTCTCTGACATACTTAAGAAGTTCTAAAATACCTGAAACAAATTTATTTCACTAAATATGTATTTAGGAGTATTCAATTGGCACAATTAAATTCATAATCAGAATTGGATCTGTTAACTACCACAATACAGTAAAAATGATTTGTTCTTATTGAACAGTATAACTGAAAAATAATGGATTACTATAACTACATTTATGTAGAGTAAATTTACATTTAAAAACAAAATAAACTTTGCATTGTTCTGAGCTTACTAAAACGGATAATTTATTCATAAATGTAGATTATTTTGCTTGGGATCTCTAGTTCTGAAATACTAATAAAATTATTGGTGGCACATTTGGAGTCAGAGAATTGCTACTTAAACGATTGCTAAGAATCAACAGTTTCTATAAACCAGCAAGTTGACAAGTTGTTTCTGTATTAGCATTTATGTTTTTTGTTCTCGTTTGTTCATTCAACGAACATTTGTTGAGGGCCAGGTACATGTTGATCAGCTCGGGATACTATCCTGAGCAAGATGCATGCCATCTCTGTCACTAGATAGAAAGTGCAATGTGGATACAGATACAGAGACATAAACCATTTAAAAACATGTAACTAACTCAGATCCCACTACTGAAAATAGTTCTTTCTGGATGAAGTATGAAGTGAAAGATGTGATTCATTTATTCAGGTAATATTAACTGTTCACAAGTATTTGTTTTAGTACTTTTTAAAAATACATACTTAAGTACCATTTTAAAATGTGCTCTGTGTTGAAATCGCCTAGGTAGAACTTGGTAGATGTGTTACTGTAGTGCACAGTTTAAACTTCTCTAGTAGTTTTTGCCCTTTATTCCTGAAGTGCAAGACATGTGCTGCTGCAGTTGTGTTACTGTGAAAGAGCGTTTGGCTCCTGTGAATTGCCACGCTCTAGTCTCCAAAAGTTGCTGAGGCTTGTTTTTAACGGAACCAAGTGAATGAAGCATTTTTCTCCTTTGCAGGAAGTTTAGGCAACCTATACAGTACCATCTGCTGTGTTGGTGTAGGTCCAAATTTAGGGTTTGAAAGACCCTTACAGAAATTTAGTTCAACTGAAATGGCAGCTGTAAATGTCCATTCTGCATCCCATACCCCACAAGGGCTCTTTGAGCTACACCTCAGTTGGGTAACTGCCATTTCCCTAATAGTAAAATTAAGAATAGTAATTACCCCAGCATAGAGTTGTATGATGATATAAGGAATATTTTTTTTAGGGAAAGACTTCACACACTAAGCAAAAAGTGCCAGTTTCCCATTATTAGCCCTATTGTTTCTTCTAAAAAATATATTCATTTTTTATTGGAAAGTCAGATATGCATAGAAGAGGAGAGACAGAAGATCTTCCATCCAATGATTCACTCCCCAAGCAGCCGCAACAGCTGGAGCTGTGCCAATCCAAAGCCAGGAGCCCGGAGGCTTTTCCGTGTTTCACATGCAGGTGCAGGGTTCCAAGGCTTTGGGCCTTCCTCAACTGCTTTCCCAGGCCACAAACAGGGAGCTGGATGGGAAGAGGGGCCTCCAGGATTAGAACCAGCTTCCATATGGGATCCCGGTGCATGCAGGGCAAAGACTTCAGCCACTGGGCTACCACACTGAGCCCCCTATAGTTTCTTTACACAAAGTATGGAGTTATTTATGTCCTGTACCAGAGGTGCCTCTTCTACATCTATACTCCATTTACTCCCCATCAGTCTGTCTGCCACTCTCTTTAAAGCAGACATATCCAGACTTTACCCACCACCAGTCCAAGTAGGTTGTTGTTCAGAACTGCTGGAAAGCAGTTGACCACTGGGGTTCGAAGGCTTCTCTACTGGATTCATATAATGTTAACAGGTTGAAAGACCTTATGCTTTTGCCATGTTTATTGCCTTTGTTTTAATTCTGTGGGACTTTCCTTGCTTGCTAGCTAGCTTGCTTGCTTGCTTGTTTGCTTGCTTGCTCAACTTTTTTGTGCAAGTTTTGTTTGAGCTCAGTTTAAATTGTTAAGCTTAGTTTTCATCCATGTAAAGACCCACAGAGATGCTTAGGCATGGAAGAAAAAGCCTTAGAATGCTGTTAATTTATGGTGCAGCTCTCTGTTGCTTCAACTGTGTGTTCTTGACCTTAATCTGAAAGCATATTAGCATGTAGAAGACACATATGGATGAAATTGTAAGCTTAGACATAGTTGTAGTCTCTTTCACAAACAGAGGTGATTGGATTGTATCTACCTTTATTTTCAAAGTAATATAAACTAAAGAGTCATGATGTTAAAGCCTTTTATGGTGCTAATCAAAGGAAATCACATTGCAGGATATGAAGTCCGAAAATAGGAGTGTGCCTGATTTGGGGTCTGGACAGTAAGGACTAGCAGTGGGGCAGAGCCCATCCTCGGAGGCTGCAGTTTCCTTTTTGAACTGTGGAAAGCTGCAAAAGCTGGTGTTGAGAAGACATTGTGAGATAATTTGCAGAATGAAGATGATGGAAGGCAAGGCAAAACATAATGTATTTACCCAGAGAAAGCCTAGTTCTGCCATGCTTTGTTGACAGGATTTCCCTGTGGTACATTCCCTGGAATGTAGAGACCTGTTGTCCTTGGCCCTCTAGGACCCACAGCCAGAACGAGGAGCCAGAAGGGATGGGTGGCTTCGCAGTGCAGCTGTGTCCAGATGAGGGAGTGGTCCCTGTGTCCTCGTGAGCCTGAGCGGGGAGAGGAAGTACACTCTATCGTTATCCTAATTAAAACATTCGCCCAGCAGAGCCATGATTCTCAAAACAGGCAATGTTAGCATCACCTGCAGGTGTGTTAAAAAGGCCAATTACCATTCCCAAGTATTTTTACCTTGTGTTATATTTTTTTCAAAGGCCTAGAGAACTAGTCTGTCTTCCATGTGAACAGCTTTTTAACTATTTTAGGACAAAAACAAGATCTTGACATTCTCTGTTGTGGCACTTGCGATACTGTGATTATAGTTATAATTTATTTGTTTAGTATTTATTTATCACTATATGTAGTCCTCTTGAGATAAAATCTTTGTTATTACCACAGATTCCCACCTCTCAGCACAAACCTACAAAACAGGTGTATTCAAGAAATATTTGTTGAGCGAAAGAAAAAATGCAAATGTCTGAGTCTTCTCCAGGATCTAGTTATCACAGTCTGAGACTTGGGCCGGGCAGCGGCAGTTTGTTGTAAGGAGCTGTGTGAGTGGTTCTGTTGCTCTCTCAAGTTTAAGGACTGCTACAGTATAATGAACAAAGAGTCCTTGCCTTTCACCCACAAGCGAGCCACCTGACAACACTTGCAGAATTCTTCCTGCCTTGTGTAACCCTTACCTATTGGCTGTATTTTACAAGTGGTTATGAAGCTGTAAGGCTGTTTGGTGCTTGTAAGAGAAATCTTCCTTGAGTGGCCATACTTAGTAGTTGTGAAAGATTTCTAGGAATGGGTCCTTGTTCTCCACCCAACATCGTGCCTTCTAATTGTTGACTGTTTAACTTCAAAACACCACCAGGAACTGTTGGAGCAGTATCAGACTGTGCCTGTTGGGTAAAACTCTGCTCTCATTTCTACTTCCAAGGAGCCTTTTAAGTGTTTCTAATGCTTCTTTATAACATAAAATCACAGCCCTATTGGCAAAAAGAACAAAAAATAAAACTGCCTATAACTTTGCCATTCAGGGAGAACCACTATAAATATGGCCTTCCAGACTCTTCTGTACATTTTTACATTTTTTTAATGCGATCAAATTGTATGTGCCGTTTGTAACTTTTTCTCTCAATATCATGACTATCTAGCTGTGTCAAATATATTTATATCTTTTTCATGGCTGCATGATATTCCATCCTGTGTGCTAAACTTGATATTGAATTTTAGGTTTCTGATTTTTCACTAATAAACTGCTTTAATGAATAGTGTGTTATTAAATCTTTCATGTACATTTGCATATACATACATATGTGTGTATGTATATATTCTTATTTTCTTAAGATGAGTTCCTTGAGGTGAAATTGCTAGTGGAAAGAATATACTACTTTTTGAAAGATTTGCTACTCCACCCTGCTCTCCAGAGAACCTGTAGCAGTGTACACTTTTATCAGAAGTATGTGGAGGAGTAACTTCACTTTGGAAGACTTCCAGTTGAATGTTCTTGAGATCTTTGGTTTGTTAATAAAGGGTAAAAGGATCTTAAATCTTGCAAATTTAAAGCTTTAAATTATTTTCTTTTTTTTTAAAGATTTATTTTTATTTTTTTTTTATTGGAAAGGCAGATATACAGAGAGGAGAGACAGAGAGGAAGATCTTCCGTCTGATGATTCACTCCCCAAGTGAGTGCAACGGCCGATACTATGCCATTCCGAAGCCAGGAGCCTCTTCCAGGTCTCCCACGCAGGTGCAGGGTCCCAAAGCTTTGGGCCGTCCTCGACTGCTTTCCCGGGCCACAGGCAAGGAGCTGGATGGGAAGCGGGGCTGCCGGGATAGAACCGGCGCCCATATGGGATCCTGGGTGTGCAAGGTGAGGACCTTAACCACTGTGCCACCGCGCCGGGCCCCTAAACTATTTTCTTATGATGTCATTTGTTCTCTCTTCTGTCTTACACTTTATGAATCTCTGGGGATGATGGTAGTACTGGCTGCCCTTAGGGGTGATGGTAGTACTGGCTGCCTTAGGAGGTGATGGTAGTACTGGCTGCCTTTTTCCATCCTCTGACAGCACTGTTACATGAGATGTTAGGAGAGCCATCCTGAGTAGACTGCAGTGTTGGGGAAGCTTTGCAACTGGCTTACTGTTGATGGCTTAAGGGAGCACATGCACACAGGGGAAGGGACCTCTCACAGCAGGCAGAACTCTGGCTCTCCCCCCATTGCCTGATGATAACTTGCTGGGATGTGCAGGTAAGTGTGTTGTGGTCCTGAGGTGATTGCTGTTGCCAGTCTCTGTGGAGTAAACATCACTGCTGCTGTCAGATCTTCCTTTATACCGTTGTGAATAGACACTGCCTTGTACTTTTATTATGTCTGCAAAGTCCAGCTCCAGGCATTTTCCAGTCAGACAGAGAAATAATGTAACCAATGAGGCCCAAGATGTCTCCTGGGACATGTCAGCACTCCCATGAAGTAGGAGTCATACTGGCTAGGGCACTTGTTGGCCAACCCAAACTTCGCTAACAGAAACTGCCTGCACCTGGCCCATGGCTCATCTTTGTGCTTTGGAGGGCCAGATCATCCCTGGGAACACCTGATGGATGCTGTTCTCAATAAAGAAAATATCTATTAGCTAAGTCCCCATAGTACTTCCAAGACTAAAGAACAAAGAACATTGACCCAGACTA